ATAGTGAAGTACTAGCCTTCCACTGGCTGGCTTTGACATTAAGGTTAAAAAAGAGTCATATTATGTGTTATATTTCCAATACTTATTTAGCTTAATCTGCATTTTTATTGAAAATGTTTTCAATACAGATGTTAACACTGTATCTTTCTTTTTAAAAATAGTTTCATATTATTGATGACTATAATTACAAAGGACGTGACAAAGCTATTGTCTTTCCTGCTCATACAACTATTGCATTTAGTGTGTTTGAGCTTTATATTCACTTGGATGGTAATTTTGGTAAGTAGTTTGTTTTTCAATTGTGAGTGCAATTACTATTTTACATTGTTCTTGTTCTGAGATTGGGAATCTTTAGTCTGGAATGCTATAAACATTATATTCATGCTTTATTGTGTGCTTGTGGTTAGCAATCTCATTCACTTCAGGGCTTGCATCCATACCTTACAGGTATACACATCTGCAAGGGCACACACAGTAACATCTACCAGTAGATTCAATCCAGGGACAGTAGTGGGACAGACATTCACATGTGCATTGCAAGACAGATGGAAATCAGAGCCTCATCCGTACCATGCAGGGTGATGGATATTGTATTAGATTTGCATCTGAATTTGGATGATAATGGACGCAAATGATTATGTACCTGGAAGTTTGCTTCCACCTAAAAAAAAAAATCACCCTTGCTGAATCAGCTGGTTTGTGTTCAGTTTTGTGTTGTAGTTTTGCCTTATTTAATATAACTTTTCTATAAAATTAAAAAACTAATTTTCATTAATAATAATAAACTGTATTATGAAATTGTGCTTTTTCTGAATACTTAAAATATATGTATTTTTTCCCCAGAGCTCTGTGTCACTCCAGAATCAAAAGGAGGATTTGAAAGAGAGCCATCAAGAACATTTTCACTAGTTAAATTAAGGAATCTGTTTTATCGAAGTATGAGGTTTGATATTTATGTGCATTACACTAATTAATTTGATTGGTAAGGTATTTAATAGTATTTCATATTATGGTTGGTGCTGAAGTTCATGCTTATAGCTGCACTGAGAAGTATTTTACACACACACACACACACACACACACACACACAATAATTGCAGAGATTTCAAAATATGCAGAGTGCATCAATTTTTAATTATAATTACCATAATAATGAATTTGCTTAATTTAAAAATTAAATTTTTAATTGTTTCAGTTGTACAGTAAGATTATACTTATTACTCTTTAAAGACCTTTCATGATGTACAGCAATAATCTGACACACACAAAAGTGAAGGTAGCCACATTGGGGCATAATTAAAATATTTCCAGAGTCCATATTAAGCAAATACTTTTAGCAGGGCAGAAAAATATCGCAAAATAGTGTTAAGTTCTCCAGAATTCTTCATCAGGCTAGTTAGTAAATAAAGAAAAAAGGAGGAAAATGAGGGGGTGTAAAGCCATCTCTGCACCTACACCACCTAGTTTTTGTGGTCCCAGAATCAGCCCTTGATTTGGAGAATCAGACCTTGTTTTGCCCACCCTCCTTACAGGCCTTAGTGTAACCTGACACCTACATGACACCAAAGGGGCCTCATTTGAATGTCTGTTATCTCCTAACCTCAGCATACATTTAAGGCACATCCAATGCACATTTAACGCATGTTACGTTCCCCAAGGAATCCTAAGCCGCTTCCGGTGAACCAGAGCAACACACAGAAATGCCGTTTACCTTCCCGCCGGAGCGGTACCTATTTATCTACGTGCACTTTGATGTACTTTCAAACTGCTAGGTTGGCAGGAGCAGGGACCGAGCAATGGGAGCTCACCCCGTCGCGGGGATTCGAACCGCCCACCACCTTCTGATCGGCAAGTCCTAGGCTCTGTGGTTTAACCCACAGCGCCACCCGCGTCCCCCAGGTAGTCTGACTAGAAGTACCTTTAACCAGCTGCTGCTGCGGCCATTTGTGAACTCAGAGAACTTGACCACAGTACTGTAGTCAAACAGGCATATATAGGGTAAAGTTATCCCACAAATAAACTGGTTCAAAGCTGCTCCATGTTTTTTATATACAGTGGTACCTCGGTTTACGAACTTAATCCATTCCAGAATTCCGTTCTTAAACCAAAACCGTTCTTAAACCGAGGCACGCTTTACCTAATGAGACCTCCTGCCGCCAGTGCCCTTCCACTGTTTGGATTCTGTTCTTAGACCGAGGTAAAGTTCTCAAACCAAGACACCATTTCTGGTTTTTCGGAGTTTGTAAACTAATCGTTCTTAAACTGGACTGTTCTTAAACCGAGGTACCACTGTATTTCATTTTTTTAAAAAAGCTTCAAATTATTATAGAACCACAAAGACAACTAAACCGTAACAAAAATTCAATAATATATCCAACTAGAGGCAGGACATATGAAATCTAAACATCTTAACTTGACTGCTTCGATTTTGGGAACTGACAGTATTGCAGGTGATGTACTTGTTCTGCATTTGTAAGTAATAAAGCAAGGGACGTGTCAATCAACCCATTGTGCAAAAAGATGGATACTTTCTATAGGTAAAATTATGCTATTATATTTATGAACTTGTTAGGATTTAACAATGACTGTAGATTAGGGGAGGAATTCAATGTCGTGCTAAGGCAATCATTCCATCAGGACATTTCAGCTTGCCAGCTGGAACGCACACATCACTGGCCCAGGGGTTCTTCCCCTCCACATCAGAGCCAATTTGGGGGGAATGGGGAGGAGGGAGGGAAAGCCCCATTATGCAAGTGAAACTCCTTGCTTCTGCTTACAGGACTCAGTTGTGGAATCCCCCACTCTGGGCTGAATGAAGAGTTTGTATTTTTGTCAGTGGTTGACCAGATAATGTGCTATTGGATTTAGCAATCTTTCTTCTTTGTGTCTGTGTCCTTTCCCCCCCTTCAGACAAAAGGGTAATGGATATCATTGCTCACTCAGACAATTACTTAGATGACCTTTTCACAGACTACTATGAGAAAGCTGCAAGCATGACGGATGTCTCCACGAACTATTTCCGAGAAGGGGCCCATATACGAGTGAATTTGCTTAACAATCACATCCCCAAAGGTCCTTGTTCGTTGTGTGGAATGGGAAGCTCCAGAAGAGAAACTGTCTATGGTTGTCTTGAGTGTTCTTTTAATGGACAAAAGTTTGTACGACTACATGCTGTGCCTTGTTTTGACCTCTGGCACAAGAGAGTGAAATGAAAATTTTTGGAAATGCATGTTGGTTGGATCCAGATTGTTGCTTGCACTTAGTATCCACCAAAATTAAGTCACACCTGACTTTTCCACTTTGAGGTCAGGAAGACCTAAGTACAACCGACTTGGCCTGGATTAAACCCATGCATATATTTAGGTGTGATTGTGCCATGGAATTTCTTGTGCATTTTGATTGCGAAATATGGAGCCACAAATGCTTTTTTCTCCTTCCGTGTTTTTAAAGGAATGCAAAATAGAACTTGATATAATGGCTTCCCACATATGCTCTGTTATTGGTTAGTTCTTTCTAACTGCATAGTGTAACATAGCTAAGAGATACACATCCGAGTTAAAAAATTCACAATAGCATTTTGTAATAAATCTACAAAATGTGTAAATTATGTTTAGAAGTCATTATTTGTAGGAGTAATTTGGAAACATTGGCTTTTGTTTAAAGGCAAGAATGTGTTTCACCTTAACTACACCACAGTAAGACCGTAATGAAAAGATATGAATTATTTATTAATGGCATAAATATTTAATTGAAATATCAGATTACGAACATGTTTGTCTTTGCTCTGGTTAAACAGAGAAATAAAAACTGAATTGAATCTTAGTATGACATAAATGTTTCCATTAAAATTTGCCAATGTCACCCCCAATTACATCTGTCTCCCACTTAGTCCATATTTATCATTAATATAGAGCAAGTTCAGTATTTTTTAAATGTTAGACTTGCTGTTATTTGGTGCCTTTTGATGTATTTGACAATATTTTTTGTAACAAAGCTATATAATTTTGGAATAAACGAGTCAATTACATATCTGATGTACGTATGCAATACTATTATCATTGAGATCTAGCCATTAGGTGGCAGTATCTGCCACTGTGTTTAAAACCGCATGTTAAAATTGGCACTGCTGGGGTTGTCTAGAATTTCTGCTACATATTTATCTACCAATGCATTTGTAAAAATAGAAGGGATTAAACACCTGATTCTCTTTAGATCTGAATATAGCACACCCACTGAGCCCTGGATTCTTTCTTGACTCTAGTGCTGTTTGGTTTTTGATATAAACACGGTGGGGGAGAACTAACTGGCATTTAAGTTGTCCAAGAGTTGTGCATTTAATCAGTAATACAGTACCTAGCTTATACATAGCTGTTTCCACACAGATGACACACTTTACTTTCTCCATATGCTGGAGGACATGGCGGCGGCGGCGGCGGATAATTTGTCAACCTCTTTTAAAGCCATCCAGGTTGGCACTCTCACTGCCTCATGAGTGTACAAATTTTATACATCTCTTACTATCTTCTCTTATGCGCCTTTTTCTCCAAACTAAGAGCCCCAAATGTTGTAGTATCTGGGTGGGGTGCCTAAAAAAAGAGATGGTTCAGACAGAATACTAAATCACAGATAAAACAAGCCACAGTTCATAAGCCAAAACTATGGTTTCATGCTGGTTTGTTGCCAAAAAAGCAGACAAAAAACCCCACATGCTTAGTCTACTTGGCTAATTTTTGGACACTGCAATAAGCCATACTTTGGCTAAACAAACCATGGGCTAGCATTATGTGTGAATCAGGCCATTAAGTGAAAATGTGCAACTGAGCTTCAGTGCCATTAAGGCAACTCTGGATCTGCTCCAAAAATGGCTCCCACAGATTTTCAAAATGAATGTTAAAAACGAGGGGAGTAAAGAGGCCACAGGGGTGGGGGGCGATTTGGAGCAAACAAAACAAAAAAGGGAAATTACTTCATCAGCAACAACACGATATTTGGCATAGCTGTAAATTCCCCGTTAACTCTTACAACTTTAATTCAGATTATTTCATAAGAATTACAAAGTATGTGGAGCCACCCCTATCATTTCAGTAACATTTTTAATCATGATAAAAAGGTATAAAACATTTCCCACAACCAACATACATGAAATACTATGTGACAAAGAAATTCCATTTTGGTTAAAGCCATTAATCTAATGGACAAATCCCAGGGAAATCAAACAGGGCTGAAGAGTGTAATCACAAAAAGCTGTGTACTTGGTTACAAATGTAGTGCCAGCTCCACAGGTACATCTTCACTTCAATGTGTATTTAGGGCTCAAATAGCAGGGTTTCCTACTACCTTCAATGCAGTGGGTAACGCTGTGAACAAAGCCTTGTCCCCTCCACTGAAGGGCATGGGGACGTCCTTGTGAAAGCTCCATTTGCGCATGGGAGGAAGTGCTGAATTGGGATCCAAATGTCCATAAAACAGATAGGGATGGGGAACCTGTGGCCTTCTAGATGCTTTTGGACTGCACCCCCTCTCATCCCTGATCATTGGCCAAGCTGATTTGGGCTGATGGGAGCAGAGGTCCAACAACATTGGCAGGCCTGCAGATTCCCCATTCCTGCCACACAGACTTTTAAGCAATGATCTGTTATAGTTCATCGTGTTGGTAGACGTTATATTCCTTGGCAGATATGAAGCCGTCTCCGTCATGGTCATTCTTTTTAAATATATCAAGCAAGACATCTTGATGAACGGAAGGGTCGCGTTTCTTGCCATCTCTTTCAAATTCCTTCTTCAGGTAATGGTCTATCTAAAGGAACAACAATCGACAGATTTGTTACGTATTGAAAATGGTGTTAATTTAGGTTTAGATGCTATAACGGGGAACATCAGAATATGACCCGTGTTACCTCATGTTTTGAGAGTTTTTTGTCACTATCCAGGTCCATTTGAGAAAATGCTTCAACACTGCGGGGTCCTTGCGTTACTGCATACAGTTCAATCTCAAAGATCAGTGTTGCGTTAGGTGGAATCTTTGCAGGTTCTAAAAATGTAACAAGACCATTTTGGGAACTGTACACACATCTGACAGATAATCTTAACCACAAACTGGAGTATTTTTTATGGTTATTTGGAAATGTGTAAATTATGGACTCTGGTATAAACACCTGTTTTTTAAATACTTTGCTTTGTTGAACTACTCTGAATTTGAGGCAGCCCTCCTGATTATTAGGGGCAAAATACAACTGGATTTCCCCCTATGCACACTCCTTTTTGGGGTGTATTCCCACATAGATTGCGCCCTAAGTATATTGTCAAGCCATTCTAAACGAGTAAACTGCTTACTCGCAAAAAACAACAACAGTTCCACCAGATTTGTTTTGTCATTTTCAGAAAGCTGCTTGAAAAATGTGGTCTGTGCTTCAGCCATCAGTAATAGCTGGGGTGGGGGATGGCAAGTCAATGGCCATGGGCAGGGGTCAGCAACCTTTTTCAGCCGTGGGCTGGTCCACCGTCCCTCAGACCATGTGGTGGGCCGGACTATATTTGGGGGGGGGGAGGGAATGAACGAATTCCTATGCCCCACAAATAACCCAGAGATGCATTTTAAATAAAAGGACACATTCTACTCATGTAAAAACAGACTGATTCCCGGACCGTCCACGGGCCGGATTGAGAAGGTGATTGGGCCGCATCCGGCCCCTGGGCCTTAGGTTGCCTACCCCCTGGCCTAGGCCCTGCCTTTGTCCATCGGCACTGTCAATTGGCCTTTGGTGGGCGAGGCTTCAGGGAAGACCACAGGGAGAACTTCATCCCTCTAGTTCACTCAGGGGCCCCCACATTGGACTAAGGCCAGCACTTTTCTCATGAATGTCAGAAAGCTACTTGATAAATATGAAATGGCTATCTAGTCAATCAAGCATGAACAGCCATTCCACTAAAAAAAACCATTAACTTGAAATACAATTTTTGGAGTAGGCAAGGTTAAGATTTCAGGGATAAACGTTTCTCCACCACAAGGAGGAAAATGGGCTTCAAAGGAAATCCATGTTTATCTTCTGGTTTGATACAATATCCTCCTGTATCAAAAGGGATACAGTGGTACCTCGGTTTAAGAACAGCCCTGTTTACGTACTATTCGGTATATGAACTCCGTGAAACCGGAAGTAGTGTTGTGGTTAGCGAACTTTACCTCGGTCTACGAATGGAAGCTGAACGGTAGAAGGGCACTGGTGGCGGGAGGCCTCATTAGGGAAAGCATGCCTCAGTTTAAGAATGGCTTTGGTTTAAGAACGGACTTCTGGAATGGATTAAGTTCGTAAACCAAGGTACCACTGTACCAAAGTTTAGCAGCTTTTGAGAAAGAAAGCATACTGATAATGGCAGACAGGTACCAGTAATGAAGGAGAAAGCTTCCAAAGTCAGTCCGAAACAAGTATTTTGCAAGCCATGCACCTGCAGCTGCCAAATACAGAATTTGGGAACTCATCTAAAATGATGAAGACTAAAAGTAGGCAGTTCAGACAGAAGATTAGTGCTAGAGCGACATGCTTTTCATGCAGGCCGTAGGTTCAATCCTTGGCATGTCTAGGTAGGGCTGGGAAGGTATCCTACTTGAAACCCTTCAAAGTTGCTGTCAGTCAATGAAGATAATACTGGGTTAGATGGGACACTGATCTGCCTCAGTGTATAAGGCAGCTGCCGATGGTCCTATAATTTATTTCTGAGTTTCCACATACTGCACTGAAAGCAAAATATTGCAACAGATATCCTCTCCGAGAACTAAGGGAGATCAAACGTCATATACAGAACTCACAATATATAAAAATGAAATTAGAAACTTTTATGTAGAGGCTAAGACAGTGTGATCCCCTACACTGAACAGAGCTCACCAGCCTGTCAGGTTGATAAGACACGTTCCTTGGATAAATGTCTCAGGAAGCAACAATAGGAGACTTAACTGAATCTCTCTGTATGGGTGATCATTATATGTATCTGGCCTGGTGTGTCCAATAGGTCACAAGTTGCCTTGTTCTGAGCCCAGAGACCTCCCCCCCCCTTAAAATTGTTTAGCAGAAATCCTCACACACGCTGCAGCAACACAACTGCTCGGTTTCTAGAGTTAGTAGCTAAACTAAAAAAAGGAAAAAGATTTAAGCGCAAGCAGTTTTGAGAGTAATACATACCACAGGAAAACCCGTGAAAAGTTCTAGAAAGCCACATGCATTCTTGACATTCAAAACTAGTGCCATCTTGCTCAGCATGCACAAACAATGCCCTGAAAGAATATAAGAGGGTTGTACGTGGAAAGAAAGGCCTCCTTCAAGTTCAGCCTAAAAAAGACAGTCACAGTTAGTATTCAGCAAACAAGCAATGCATCTTTAGAAATCAAGGTATGTTAAATCTGGTTGAGGTATGATGGCCAAATCTATTACTCGCTTCAGCAGACTTTGAATCACAAGTCGGCCTACAGAGATGTTGTGCATGTCAGATGTCAAATCACAATGAGGTCAAAGCTGGGCACCTGGATATTTAAAGATTCACCAGTTCCAGCTAAGATTCAAAAGGCAAAGGTTTCAGCCCAATAACGTTAGATGGGATTAAGTCTCATTGGACAAGTCAGTCACAATTATCTCTCGTTCCAACTAAGTTTAGCTGGACTGGAGTCATGGTGAAGGCTTAGTCAACATCACTCTGACTGGGAAGATAAGTGATCAACATCACTCTGGTATGGGTCTAAAATTAAGATCAGTTCAGACATAAAGCCAAACCTTTGCAGGGACTGGGAGAGCCCTGCAGCTTTAATGTTCCCTCCTTGCACATGGGGTTCCCTTCCTCAGCTCCTGGATTTTGCTAATTCATTAAGATGTTCAAACTGACAAACTATGGATAGTGCTAACCAGGATTTAGAAACTCAATCCAAGCAGTGGTTTCATGAAGGCAAGGTACTAACCAAAGGTTGCCAATTTCAACATCAGGACAAACTAGGGTGAGGAAAATGCTGAAAGCAAAGGAAGAAACCTGCAGGTAAGAGGAGAGGAAAAGGAGGCTATGTGGGGCTACTTCTGGTCATCAAACAAACAATGGCTTTGCAACATGCTTGAACTGAACCATAAAGCTAGGTACAAAAGCAACAAAACTGAATTGAATTGAATGGTTACAGCCATTACAAAATGCCAGTGAATAAGTAACATGTAGGGAAGAGGTTGGAAATGTGATAGACAGACAGACAGACAGACAGATAGATCCCAGTTCCTTCTCTATAGGCTAAAGCAATACAGAGAATGGCTATTCGCCTTAACATGCAACCTTGCTTTACCATATCCTTGCTTCCCATAAGCAAGTGATGGAGGTATGATCACTTTCCGTTTCTCTCCAGGACACATATTCAGCATTGCAATATCTAAACCTTTAATTACTTGTCCGACACCAAGGACAAACCATTTTGGGTGGCCGTTGTTTTGTGTTCGACTACAAAGAAATATTAAAAAGAGAGAGAGAGAGACATTTAATATTTTACAGGTTTAAGAATCAAGTTCAGTATACAAGCACATCATTTTTGGTCAACATTTATTAGTACTTAAATGCCTGGCGACCCTTGGATCTGGACGGTTTTCACACACTAATACCACATCCTGTAGAATTATATCAGAATGAATTTCAGGAACAAAAATGCTTTTTCGTACAGCCTGAGTGGTGAACAACGTTTTAGCTAACTGTTGTAGCTTGTCTTCAAAGCTACCCCACTGCTGTGCTCACAGCTATGAAGGATATTCTTATGGTAAGAATGGCCCGTGTCACCATTAAGAAAAAGAGGTCGGAATAGGCCAATTTATCTGGGCTGTCCCTGGATAAAGTGATTTTCTTCATTAAGTTCTCAAAGTTTTAAACCCAGCTCAAGGTTGTCATCTGAACTAGCCAGAAGTTTAACTGATAATCAATCAGTCAGTCCATCATTTGAAAAATAAGACTTTAGGTAAAAAGGTAAAGGTAAACGACCCCTGGGCAGTTAAGTCCAGTCAAAGGCGACTATGGGGTTGCAGCACTCATCTCGCTTTTCAGGCCGAGGGAACCAGTGTTTGTCCACAGACAGCTTTCTGGGTCATGGGGCCAGCATGACTAAACCACTACTGGCGCAAAGGGACTCTGTGACGGAAACCAGAGTGCACAGAAACGCCGTTTACCTTCCTGCCGTGGCGGTACTTATTTGCACTGGCATGCTTTTGAACTCCTAGGTTGGGGCAGGAGCTGGGGCAGAGTGACAGCTCAGTCCGTCAAGCAGATTCAAACCGCCAACCTTAAATCAGCAAGCCGAAGAGGCTCAGTCGTTTAGACCACATTTTGGCAACTGTAACCTTGGTTTAAGGAGGCATTTGGCACCTAGCCTATACAGGGCGAGTCTTTTAAAAGAGGCCCCATGGAATATGTGTACTCTGTATCCACGGAGCCTCTTTTAAAGGACTCACCCTGTATATCTGAGTTTCTAACACTGCACACACATATAAGCTAGGATCAAAATTCCTTCTTAAACCAAAGTTGGTTTCATTTTCCACATGATGGGTTATAGGCCGTAGTGCATGCCTGCGTGCCTAGATAGCATACATCTAGGGGCCTTTGACCCACTAGGGCCTATGACCCACTCTCCACATGCCTTCAGAAAATAATGGGGGTGGCCCTCTGACCCATACATATTGCACATGTATGCATACATGTTATCAAGCGATTCTGAAAGCATCTGTGATTTTCGGATGATCAAGGAAGGATATTGTACAAGGCTGGAATAACACCCCCCTCCCTTAAAGACATTGAGTTTTACTTCCTAAATTGCATGGCACAACTCACATTGACTTTGGAACCCAACCTTCAGGTTGCCAAACCTTTATTTTTGCGTTCAAAGTACCGCTTCCTTGTGTTTTATATATCCGGCGGCGTGGGCCGAGCTTTGGATTGCCTTACCTGCAATAGAACTTGGACTTCTCCCCGGCCAGGTACCCGTCGTAATGGGCATTCAGCAGGTCCCCCTTCTTGCTCTTCGGATGGCAATTTTCGGGGACGTGCACGACTTCCATTTGAACTTCGTCGGCGGAGGCGCCCTCCTCCTTCTTCTGCCCGTCCGCCCGGAGGGTTACGAGGGCGAAAGCCTGGAGGAAGAAACAGATCCCCGCGGCGAAGTGCATAGCTGCCGGAGCACGAGATCGCGGCTGCGGGATCTGCCTCGCTGCTCGCCGGGGCTGCGTGGCACTGGCATTGTTCGACGTCACGGGAGCCGAGAGGGGCGCGGCGCTGGGCTGCTCCAGCCTCCGTCTCGCCTCGCCTCCTTCCGGCGGACGCGCGGGCGGCGCGGGATGTGCCCCGCTTGCGCTGCTGGCCCGCTTTGCCTCCTCCGCCTTGCCCATGTAGGTCTTTCGGGAGGCGGCACGACGGCGCGGAGCCGCTTTAATCCCCGGAGCTGAAGGTCTCCTCCCGCATCCCCAGGAGCTTTAATCCCCGGAGCTGAAGGTCTCCTCCCGCATCCCCATCTAGGCAGAGCGATGGTAGCTATTCGTTTGGGGAAGGATGGCCCAAGTGGGCAGGATTGCAGGTGGATGCAGAGATAGCAGATTTGTAATCGGGAAGGGGAGCTCCTCCTCGGTCCCCCCGCGACGTTTGCAAATCGGCGTCGCTGCAGCGTTTTTTCTCTGCGCGATGGTGTTTTTGCGCCCGAGGTGGGGGAGGCCGAAGGAGACGCTTTTTTCAAATTAAAAAACAAAAGCCGGAGCCCGATCTTGTGCGTGCCTGTTCGGAAGTCAGTCCCGCCAAGTTCATTGGAGAGCTGCTTCCGAGCAGATGAGAGCATAAGGGTTGCAGCCTCGAGGGGGATGCCCGGCGAGCGGGTGTATTTAAACGTGGAAAGCCGCCGTGCTCAATACGCAGAGCGAGCGATCGCATATATGCAGGGTAGATCTATATAATATATATTAATTACGCCCGGCGAAGGCTGCAGTGCAGACGTGGCGCTCGAGTTTTCGGACCGGCGGTGGAGGCAAGCAGCCCAAATGCGTGTGCGCGTAGCTTGCTTTTTTTTTTTTTTGTTTCATCCACCAGCCCCTTTCATCCAGGAAGTAAATGAGACGTCGGGGTCAATGGCACCAAGCGCAAAGGCCCGAGAAAGGTGGGGGGGGGAGGGGGAAAAGGGGAAGGAGAAAAAGAAAGAAAGAGGCCGGCGAGGAGAAGAGGGAGGCAGCCGCAGCCTGTGCGAGAGGGTTTGGTAACCGCTTTGTTTCCCCAGTGGCTGCGATGTGCATAGGCAATGCATGACTCCGCCGCTCCTCTTCCTGCCGCACGTGCCCGTACAACCCAGTCCGCGCAGCACCCCCAAAGCCAGCCGGACCCGAAGGCGGCTGCCGCTGCTCCCCCGCTAAGCTAAACCACCCAGCCGTCCATGTACATAGCGGGGCCGGTTGCCGCCGCCGCCGCCGCGTCTGCTCGAGAGCGCCGAAGGGGAGAGAGGGCCCGCGCCGTTCCTGCTGCCTTTTCTCCGGAGGAGGGCGAGCAGGATGCTGCGCGAAGCGCGCCGCTGAACTATGGAAGGAGTTCTGTACAAGTGGACCAATTACATCACAGGTGAGGGGCGTCCTGGGCACCTGGGCGAGGGCCGCCCGCCCGTTGTTGTTGTTCCGTCGTCGTCCCTGGCGACGCTGCTGGAGCCCGGGCGCCGGCTTCCGGGTTGGGGGTGGCAGCCGGGCGGCTTGGACCGGGGTTTCTGCCTGGCAGAATGGAAGGCGCGCTTGGCTAGGGCTGTGGAAGCAAGAGGCTGCCGCTTCCAAGCGTGCGCTCCTGCGTTTGGCCTAGTGCTGCCAGCCCCCTAATATGAGAACCCCTTCCCACACATGCTAGTCTATGGGCATTTAATGTGGGGTGGGAAACAATCCTTGCTGCCTGTCAAAAGTCCTCCAGGATAGGGGCTGGGTGTGCATCCATCTCACCCCCCCCCAAGTTTACCTCATCTTTCCTTATTGTCTTCTAATGGATTATGGGATATTGCTTCATTTGATAGAAGTCGTTTGTTTTTAAGTCATCATGAGTTTCTTTTCATTCCGGGTTGTTATTAGGTGTGCAATCTTTGCTGTTTAATTTTGTTGTTTCTTCAGCTTGTAAGCCGCCATGTGTATAGTAATATAGAAAGGCGGTATGCAAATTAAAAGGGAAATGAAATGAAATCTTAGAGCTGGACTGGATAAAATAGTTGGCAGCCCCACAGGGCGGAGAGGAGAGGCGATTGTGTGTGGAAAGGGGGGGCTCCCTCATATGCCCATTTTGCAGTGTTAGAAACTCATATAAGCTTGGTGCCAAATGGCTCCTTAAATCAGGGCTACAGTCACCAAAACAGAATGCCTTGTTGCCGTGTTTCTGCCAGACAGCTCGAAAGTCGTATTTCTCAGTATGACTTTTCGGTTCCTGAAATCCATTCTGATGGTGCAGATAAAATATAACTTGCTGAATTCAGCGGGATGTGTTGCTAGTGTGTGAAAATAGTCAAGATCCAAGGATCCCCAGGCATGCACCTTCAGATGGCAGAGACATCAGGGAGCTTCACTTGGTCGCAAGTGGCCGATAGTCAGGTGCAAAATGTGCCTGGCGAATTTCGAAGGCTGCCCTTTTGCTCCATGACTTGGGTGGGGGAAACAAGGGCCTGAGAGCTGGGTGCGGCCCTCCAAGCTGCTCTGTCTGGCCCCTGAGACTTTCCTGGCCAATCCATTCCCTCCCAGATGCACCCCTTTCTGGTCCTGGGTCACACCCTCTTTGAGTGCTCTTGCCTGGCTGGAATGTGTTCCTGAACTCTGACAATGCCTCTTGCTTCCCGGAATGGAGTGTAGCTGAGGGTACATGAGTCAGCTCATCTACTGTACAGAGGTGATGTTTGCATTCTTTGCTTCCTCCACTTTTTGCTATGGCTATGCCCTCGGGCTTGTGTCTCCTGAGTGGAAAGTGGCTTTCGTGCCGAAACAGGTTCCCTACCTTGGTCCTACCAAGCTTCACTTGCCAATTTTAAATGCAAACATAGGAGACAATTAAAGGGCAAATTGGCTGCCTTCATCACATCTAGGTTCTCACCAGAGCTTCCCTCTTTTATTATCTATCATCCTATCTCAAGAGCTCTTACCCAAAATATATATGGTGACTGCAGGTGTAATTAAAGTTGCACTCTGTTTGCCTGTGCTTTTAACAGTAGCTTCCCTGCTTTAAATTTAGCAACTTGGCTGAGTAAATAAGGCTGCACGCAGAGATAATGGCAGATATGGCTGCTGACAGATAAAAGAGGGCTTGGAGTTGCATTGCATCGCTGGGGGAGGGGGAAGTAACAGAAGGAAATGTTGAAAAATAATTACAGTAAAAGGGTTCAGAAGCATTTTGTAGGGTTGCCCCAGCCATAATTCCTAACATGACACTATTTGATCTCTAGCATGATATGACATTTAATTATACCCAGGCCCCTTCGGCAAATTTAGAGACTTCGCATGACCACAGCAAACTCTGTTGAATGTAAACAGAGAGGGTATCTTGTCTGAAAGGACAGACAACATTTCATATACTTGTTCTATGGAGCTATCAGAACAACCCCATAGAGCCAATACCTTGCAGGAACTAAGCCTAACAGAAATAATCTCATGTTTCCCCCCACTTCACTCCACTTCCATTGATTGTAAGCCCCCTGGAGTAGACTTGTTTTCTCCTTCTTTGTAAGCAGCCCCGGCACACATATGGTGCTATTTGAACAAATAAGACCCTGGTGATGAACCTTGACATTCAAAGATAGCTTTGGGGCAGTTCAAGGAAGCAAGTAGATGTGAATGAAAAAGAACCCCCTACTGTGCAGGTATGTTGAGAATACAATAGATATTTGACCCTCCTTGTCACCATATGCTAGTAAGATGTTGGAGCCATGGCTTGGCAGAAATGCAGGGGAAGAAAGTAGCACAAGTTTATTTGTTCGTTTTATACCTTTCCCTTCCTTGAAATTTCCAGGGTAGCTTTCAAAAATGGAATTATTATTTTTTTAAAAAATGCAACTTAAAAATGTATACAAAAATATAATGAAACAGGCAACCTCCAAGGCAACAAGGATTGCTTGGGTTGATTTGGCTGGTGGGATGCTGAGGAGGAAGTAGCTGGTTGGGGAGATTGGTTAGGAAGGAATGGCTTATGACTGCCTGCCAGCCATACAGATGTTTGTGCATGTATACAGTGATGCTCGATAACTTTGGCTGCAGCTGGTGTGTCATATCAATACATGACTGAAAACCTAGACGAATGATTGATTCTGCTGATAATGATGGCTGGTGGTCAGGTCTTGCAGTTTTGATTTGTGGGAGGCAAGACCATTCGCATTGCAGCCTCCACGCCCCTACCCACCCACCCACCCACTAAACTATCCCCGCTGGCACGACAACCATGCAAGACATGCCGATTATACACAATACAGTAGTGGTAGTAGGGGACGGAGGAGGTTTTTGGTTGGTCTGCATTTTTTTAAGAAGACTGACCTAGGTAGTTTGGAACTCCTAGGCTAATACACAGATCACACCATAAATTATCCTTGGGATTTTGTACATTTCCAAATTTTGCAATATACTTTCCCTCCCGGAAAACGTATCAAAATGCATATTTTAGGACAGAATACATTTAGAAATGTAACACTGAAATAAAAATAGGTATTTAAATATGCATATTGTGATAAGGTACATACTTAAGTGCATATTTAAAATACACATTTAAATATTAATTTCTGAATGGAAAAAAGTTGCAGATTAATGTAGAAATGGACAGAGCCAGACTATGGAACAAACACATGCAAAATTGACCAAGGCAGAAAATAGATCTGTTAATCCCAAACTGGTAGATACTGAGTTTTTTTAAAAAAAAAATCATACTGGAGAAATTTGATATTCTACTAGCACTGTTTCAGCTTGTCATTTTTTTACTTTAATAATTTTGGGGCCTTTCTGAAGAAGCTGTGTCTGTAACCAACATTCGCTAGATAAGGACTGGGTGTACAAACGTTGTGCAATGAGATAAGAGAGAACACTCTACGGAAATTTTATTGAGTAGGTTATTAATTTAAAGGAGCATACAAGTGAAATACTTGCTGAAAATACATTTGCACTTTAAAGCATAAAGAGATAATAGATAATAGAGGGCAAGTAGAATGAATCATTGAATAAATTCCACCAACTCATGAGGATTTTATTTGACTTATTCGTTCGTCCCAGTTTGTTCTCTCATTTTACAGGGCTGGCCACTGGGACAGCAAAGGATGCTGTTTCCTTTTATTCTGTTGAAAAGGCTTTCTTACTTGCCAGAACAACAGGGCTGTTTTGTTCCATTGCAGCAGATCCCATATGAGTTTCATAAGCTGCTTCATTGGGTCTCTACCTTAACTGCAGCACCACTTTGTTTAATACCCTTGCTGGTTTCCCGGGAAAATCAGAGGCTCACTATGTCAGGTTCCTACTGGAAGACTGGACAAATGCTAGAACGTTAGCAGTGGGAAAGTTTTTATCGGTGGTTGCAAGAACAAATGAGCCCTATATTCTAAACAAAATGCTTGATTAACCTGGAGGTAGGCTGTATGAATTGTGTATTGATTTGTAATGATTTGTTGGGTCTCTGGACCGTAATAAAGATTGATTGATTGATTGATTGATTGATTGATTTGTTTAATTCTGCAGTTCTTTTCTCATTCTGCTCAACTTGAATCAAGTTCAAATTCCTGCAATAGGCTTAGATAGCAAGGTCTGTCTTTTTGAACTTGCGAATTAATTTGTCTTGGATCATTAACCCATACATTCTTTATCATATTTCCTCATACCGTTTTGACCA